TGACTTCAAAATACAATACAAAGCTATAGTGATTAAAACAGCATGGTCTGGCACAAAAACAGACACACAGATCAATGGAACAGAATTGAAAGCCCAGAAATAAAACCACACATTACGAACAGCTAATCTTCAACAAAGGAGCCAAGAACATACAACAGAGAAAGGAAAGCCTCTTCAATAAATGGTGTTGGGAAAACTGAACAGCCACATGCAAAAGAATGAAAGTAGACCATTATCTTGCACCATACAAAAATTAACTCAAAATGGATAAAAGACTTGAAGGTAAGACCTGAAACCATAAAACTGCTAGAAGAATACATTAGGCAATACACTCTTTGACACTGGTCTTAGAAGGATCTTTTCGAATATCATGTCTACTCGGACAATGGAAACAAAAGAAAAAATAAACAAGTGGGACTTTATCAGACAAAAGAGCTTCTACAAGGCAAATGAAACCATGAACAAAACGAAAAGATAACCCACCAACTGGGAGAAGATATTTGCAAATGATATGTCCAACAAGGGGTTAATCTCCAAAATATATAAAGAACTCATACAACTCAACAACAAAAAAACAACCCAATCAAAAAATGAGCAGAGGATATGAACAGACACTTTTCCAAAGAAGATATACAGATGGCCAACAGGCACATGAAAAGATGCTCAACATCGCTAATCATCAGGGAAATGAAAATCAAAACTACAATGAATTATCACCTTACACTTGTTAGAATGGCAGTAGTCACCAAGTCAAAATATAACAAATGTTGGAGAGGATGTGGAGAAAAGGGAACCCTCATACACTGTTGGTGGGAATGCAAACTGGTACAGCCACTATGGAAAACATTATGGAGATTTCCCCCAAAATTTAAAAATAGAAATACCATACAACCCAGCTATCCCACTACTGGGTATTTATCTAAAGAACTTGAAATCAACAATCCAAATAGACTTATGCACCTCTACGTTCATTGCAGCAGTATTCACAATAGCCAAGACGTGGAAGCAACCTAAGTGTCCATCAACTGATGAGTGGATAAAGAAGATGTGGTATATATATATATACAATGGAATACTACTCAGCCATAAAAAAGACAAAATCGTCCCATTTGCAGCAACATGAATGGACCTTGAAGATATTATGTTAAGCAAAATAAGCCAGACAGAGAGAGAGACAAACACCATATGATTTCACTCATATCTGGAAGACAAACTAACGCACAGAGAAAGAGAACAGTTTAGTGGTTACCCGAGGGGAAGGGAGTTGAGGGGTGGGAAAAAGGGGTGAAGGGGCACATTTATATGGTGACTGACAAATAAGAATATGCAACTGAAATTTCACAATGTTGTAAAATATTATGACCGCAAATAAAAAAAAAAAGCTTAGACTAGAGCTACACACAACAATATGGATGAATCTTACAATCATATGTTGAATGAAAGAAGTAAAAATACAAAGAGACTATATGTATAAATGAACAAATTAAACTAGATAAATGGACATACTAAACTATATTGCCTTATATAACTGTACAAATTAAACTATTTTGTTTAGCTATGCACACATAGATAATAAAATATAAAGAAAAGCAGAACTAATTATCATAAAAGTCAGGGTAGTGCTTACCTCTGTGAAGGAGGAAAGAGTTTATAATTAGAGATACATGAAGAGGTTCCAGGGTCATTCTAGTTCTTCATATGGGTGGTGTTTATTTTATAGTTCTTTACAATGCACATTTTGCTTTATATATGTTTCTAAATGTATGTAATATCTCATAATAAAATGTTTTTTAAAAACATTAAAAAATACCATTACACTCCCTCCCCCAAAAAAAGACATGGAAAGATATTCCATACACATTGATTGAAAGAATAAACATCGTTAAAATATTCATATTACCTAAAGCAATATACAGATTCAATGTAATCCCAATCAGAATCGTGATGACATTCTTCAAGGAAATAGAAGAAAAAATCTTGAAATTCATATGGAACAACAAAACACCCCAAATAGTGAAGGCAATCCTGAGAGAAAAGAACAAAGCTGGAGGCTTCCAAATCCCTGACTTCAAAATACAGTACAAAGCCATAGTGATCAAAACAGCTTGATACTGGCACAAAAACAGACACACAGATCAATGGAACAGTATTGAAAGCCCAGAAATAAAACCACACATCTATGGACAGCTAATCTTCCACCTAGTAGCCTAGAACATACAACAAAGAAGGGAAAGCCGCTTCAGTAAATGGTGTTGGGAAAACTGAACAGCCACATGCAAAAGAATGAAAGCAGACCATTATCTTTCACCATACAAAAAAAAAATATCAAAATTAATTAAAGACTTGAAGGTAAGACCTGAAACTGTAAAACTTCTAGAAGAAAATATAGGCAGTACAGTCTTTGACATCGGTCTTAGCAGCATCTTTTCAAACACCATGTCTACTCAGGCATGGGAAACAAAAGAAAAGATAAACAAATGGGACTACATCAGAGTAAAAAGCTTCTGCAAGGCAAATGAAACCATGAATAAGATGAAAAGACAACCCACCAACTGGGAGAAGATATTTGCAAATGATATGTCCAACAAGGGGTTAATCTCCAAAATATATAAAGAACTCATACAACTCAGCAAGAGAAAAACAAACAACCCAATCAAAAAATGGGCAGAGGATATGAACAGACACTTTTCCAAAGAAGATATACAGATGGCCAACAGGCACATGAAAGATGTTCAACATTGCTAATCATCAGGGAATGAAATTCAAAACTACCATGAGTTATCACCTTACACCCGTTGGAATGGCTGTAATCACCAACACAAAAAATAATAAATGTTGGAAAGGATTTGGAGAAAAGGGAACCCTCATACACTGTTTGTGGAGATGCAAACTGGTGCAGCCACTATGGAAAACAGTATGGAGATTCCTCAAAAAATTTAAAAATAGAAATACCATACAACCCAGCTATCCCACTACTGGGTATTTATCTAAGGAACTTGAAATCAACAATCCAAATAGACTTATGCACCCCAATGTTCATTGCATCATTATTCACAATAGCCAAGACGTGGAAGTGTGGTAAAGAAGATGTGGTATATCTGTACAATGGAATACTACTCAGCCATAATAAAATAGAAAATCATCCCATTTGCAGCAACATGGATGGACCTTGAGGGTATTATATTAAATGAAACAAGCCAGACAGAGAAAGAAAAACACTGCGTGATTTCACTCATGTGTGGAGATAACCTAGTACCAGGGCGAAGACAACAGATGAGTGGTTACCAGAGGGGAAGGGCGTTGGGGTGGGCAAAAGGGGTAAAGGGACACATATATAGGGTGACACATATATTGGTGGTGAGCATGATACCATCTATACAGAATACTGATAAATAATAATGTACACCTGAAATTTCACAGTTATAAACCCTTATGACCTCAATAAAATAATTTTAAAAAATTAAAATGTCTGACAATGCCCATCTCAAGAGTTGGCTGGGATGTAGAGTGATGGGAACGTTCACAAATATTGCCAAAAGTCTGATTTGGGGGTTGACCTGGTGGCGTAGTGGCTGAGTTTGTGTGCTCCACTTCAGCAGCCCAGGGTACACAGGTTCAGATCCAGCACAGACCTAGCACCACTCGTCAAGCCACACTGTGGTGGCATCCCACATCAAATAGAGGAAGATGGGCACAGATGTGAGCTCAGCGACAATCTTCCTCAAGCAAAAAGAGGAGGATTGGCACAGATGTTAGCTCAGGGCCAATCTTCCTCACACACAGAAAAAGTCTAATTTGGTGGAGTAGCTTTGGGAGACAGTCTGGCCACACCTAGGTGTGTCTTTACCCTGGAGCATGGATTCACACCAGGAGCAGTGATTTTGCCAAAGGGGGCAAAAATCTTAGATATTACAATGGTTTGTGGCCCTCCAAAGAGTCATGGAAACATAAAAAACCATACAGTGTGGGGCTGGGCCCGGTGGCGCAGCGGGTTAAAGTTCGCACATTCCGCTTCAGCAGCCCGGGATTCGCTGGTTCGGATCCCGGGTGCGGACATGGCACTGCTTGGCAAGCCATGCTGTGACAGGTGTCCCACATATAAAGTAGAGGAAGATGGGCACGATGTTAGCTCAGGGCTAGTCTTCCTCAGCAAAAAAGAGGAGGACTGGCAGTAGTTAGCTCAGGGCTAATCTTCCTCAAAAAAAAAACATACAGTGTATTTGTGATAATGAAATTTTATTGGGAGTATTAGGAAAACAATATATAAAAGGCTCTTTAGGGGGAGATAATGAAAAAGAGGTTGAGACGGTGTCTAAGAAAAACTGTGGGACATGTGCCCAGGAGGCATGTAGACGTGTGTGCAGCGCCACCGTTCACACCAGCAACAACATAGACAACAACCCCCTGCAGTCCGTGCATGTGTAAAACTTGGAATATTCACAAGATGGAAGACTGTGCCTCAGTGAGAATGAATCAATCGCAGCGACACGAGCAGTGAAGTAAAAAAAGCCCGTCAGACAAGGAAAGCTGCTGCATGCTTCCATTTATATATAAGGTCAAACCAGGCAAAACTCAACAGAAATCAATGCTAAAACAAAGACAAGCGTGGGTATGACTTATAAAGAGGCTGAAATCTTGGCTCTCTAAAGGAGCGAGAGTGGTGGCATTGGAGCGGGTACAGGAGTCAGATGCTGAGAGTCTGGTGTTCTCTCAAGCAGTTGGTAAGTATCGTAGTGTTCATTTTATTAATTTTCACACTATCTTTGCATGTATATTTCTTTGGAGAGATGTATGTATGTTTCACAATAAATTGTTAGCATTTTCCTTAAGGGCCTTATGCCTTAAGGACCTCACATGTTAGTGAGTGGCTTGAAGGGCATCACTGGAGGTGACTCTTGAGCGTCAGGCTGTGGCAGATACTGTTTCTCCTTGTTTGTGGAGCGGATGAGGACTGAACAGTGGGTGACTAACAGGGATGGTGTGAAAGTCGACCAGCGCACTCTTTCAACCAGACCACATTTCTGCAGCAAGGAAGGTTTGAGAAACTAGTTCCCAGATCTTCTCCCTTCTCTCAGAGAAGGGGCTTTTATCCTGAACAGTTTCTTCTCCTTGTCCACGTGCCCCCTCCCTCAGCTCCTCTTTGCCAGCTGGTCTCTCTCCTTGCAGCCATTCCCGATGGAGTTCTGGACACTGCCATCCGTGCTGACGAGGCGGGGAGCGAGGAGGACCTCTATGAGGATATGCACAGCTCCAGCCACCACTACAGCCACCCTGCTGGGGGCGGCGAGCAACTGGCCATCAATGAGGTAGGGTCAGGGCTGCGTGGGCAGGGGCGGGGCTGGGAGCTGGCCTCGCCATCAGGCCACTCCAGCACGTTCGTGCAGGCCTAGATGTCCAGTCTTTGTGTTCCAAGCAGACGACAGTGGCACAAGCGTGTATACAGCACAGTTTCACCCTGTGGCTCACACTTTAGAATGTGGTGTCCATGAGCAGAGCTTGTCCAAGTATAGGAACCTCCCCTCTGCCCTCAGGGGGCCGACAAGGAACCCAGAATAGCAGGCGTGACACCTAGGACTTACGATGTAAGAGTGCTAGTCTGTCCTGTAAAGCCATCTTGGATGGAAGAAGCTCTGCTTGGTAGAAGGAAGGCCAGGGCTTAGCTCCCTGACCCTCCAACGAGTTGTTTGGGCAGGACCGAGGGCAAGGCGAGGGCAAACTGAGTTCTTGCCTATTGGCTCCAAGAGCTGAAAGGCATTGCTGTTGGTATGACAACTGTGTGCAAGTTATCATCTTTGGCTGTTCCTACCTAAGCAGAAGAAATTAGTGAGACACTTCATCTCAGCAAAACTGCTTCCCACACCAAGTTCTCCTTTTGCATCCGCCAAGGAGAGAGAAATTTGAGACCTGACGCTCCTCTCTTTTTCTCACTGGTTCTCCTTCTCTTCTTTTTTACCTAATTTGGAGGGGGCTGTTGAACATAAAGTGGCAGTTACCTGGCTCAAGCCGTAACAACACCATGTTCTCCTCCTGGTCATGACATACTGCATATTTCTGCTTCATTGGAACTAGAATCTGACCACCTGGGATCTTGCAGCACCCAGATTTGCTCCTCAGGAGGGGTCAATTTATGAACAGTTCAGCTTAACATTTCTGTGGATGAATGGGCTGGTAGGCTTCTCAGAAACCCTTAAGGAGTGTAGGGTCCTCATCACCTACTCGACAGATGGGCACGTACTGTCGATGGTGGACAAGCTCTTCTTACAGGCCCGGCTCTGAATAACGATTTAAAATAGTTGTTGTATAAAGCTGCCTTCTTGGCGCAGTCAGCAGCGCATCCGTCTCATGAAATAGTTCTTATATAATGATTTACTCAAAATCCATGATGCATAAAGAATAAACATCTAAAGAAATTGATTTTTCCAATAAGAAAATCAATAAGCCTTCCTTAAGAAAGGCTTAGATAAAGCCTTTCTTTAAGTGCTTCTCATAAGCTATTTTGAAGGGATGGTGTTCTAAAATTGTGTCATCCGAAGCAGAATTCACAGATACTGGTTTTGCATTTCCTTGAAGACTCAGGCTGCCCTCCTCAGTCTGGGGGCCCAGCCCAACGGGAGGCAGCACGTGCAGTGGGGCCTCCCAGACCTACGTGGGCGTCCTTCCCTGCCAGCAGCCAGCTGTGAGCTCTGAGCACTGGGTTACTTCCCTGTGAAACGGGAGAACCATGAGGTTACATGAGGACTGCCTGAAATAACAAATATAAATAAGCTGGCGCATGGTGGGTTCGCAATAAATCTCCGATGACGAGGATGACAATGAAGGAGGAACACTAACATCAGGCCTTGAGGGACTCTGAAGAGATGTCGGCTCATCTGATTGGCCATGAGAGCTGCATTGTTAAGAGTTCCTGTGTCTGCTTTCTGTAGTTGTGTGTCTCCCACCTAATGCTGAAATTCTCGTCTGTCCCGTCTTGCTGCTGCTGTGGAAGCACCTCTTAGAGCCCTGGACAGGCTGTTTGTTCGAAGACACTCTGGACGAGGAAAGGCAGAGCCAGGCCTGCTCTAAGAACACAGGCTCTGGCAGAGGGCACCTGGGAGGGAAAGAGAGGGGACTGAAATGAGGAATGTGTAGGTCCTATTCTGGCTGCTTAGAGAATTTGTTGCCTATTTGGTTCAAAGATGTTTCTTGGTATTTGAGGTCGCTGAGCAGGCACGTGGTGCTATGGGACCTTATATTTAGAGCACTCTCCAGGGCACTTGTCTTCCCTTGACACTCAGCATGTCCCTTGGTGGAAGGACTTGTCACATCACAGAGGAGGACAGTCAGTCGGGTGAGGAGCCCCTCTCCAGGGATGCAGCAGGCCAACACAGGGTGGAGGCTGGGCTCCAAACGCGGGCAGCACCCACCAGGCTACTCTCCCTCATGATACCCACCAACAATTCTAGATCCTGATGGAGAAAGCCTAAGATATGCAGCCCTGAAAGGGTCAGGACAGCAAGAAGGCTGACCTCCCTGGGGCTGACCCCATTCTGCCACTGGCTGGAGCACCTGTGGCAAGTCATTCCCTCCTTGGCGCCCTGATTTCCCATTGTGGGGTGGATGTGGCACCTGGGCCCCCCTGGCAGCTACAGGAGCGTCGCTGTGCCTGGGGTATCGGGTACTCAGGAATGACAGCACCTGTTATGATCCGTTGGCAGTGTTAGACTCACTTTATCAAAAACTTGGAAGATACAGAAGGTGTCCTCCAGTGACCTTCCAAAAGCAGCAGCGTCCCACTGCACTCCCCGGCCCCCAGCCCTCGCTGCTGTCTCACACCCGCTGCAGGGAGGTTTGCTGGGCGTCCCGTGAGTGTCGCACGTGAAGATTACAGAGCAGCGGATGCCAGAGAAAAGTCCATGCTTGCTTGAAGTCACATATTCACTGTGTTTTCTAAGCACGTGTGGGTGTCATGTTCTATTGTGACACTTTCTTGTTCCGTATACTCAGAAGGAGAGACCATTTCTCAGTTTCCTATGCAGAAGGGACCCCTACCATCTGGCCCAAAGAGGAGTGGACACAGGCGATGACAGCAAAGTACTTTCGTATTCTGGGCGCATAAGGAGTAAGGGGAGGCACCCACACGCGTACACACAAGGTGGCTGTTGTGTGACGTGTGCATGTGTACGTTGCACACACATGACACACATTACTGAGTATTTGATATGTGTCAGGTACTGCCCCAGGCCCTGGGATACGGCTGTGCAGATGTGGTCCTGCCCTCAGGGGCTGCCATTGGGTGAAGCAGGCTGTGCATGTCTGCGTGGCCCCGTTCTCTTCTGTGTGCCCTGGCAGAAGTGAGAAGGAAGCAGTACCTTGTTCATTCTGTGTTTCCTGCACCTGACTTGTGCCTTGTACCTCGTGATTGTCCAGTCCTTGCAAGAGGAGTCAACCTCCTAGAGATGGGAGCAGAGGACAGGAGGGCCTGTTTCCTAGCACTTCTTGGTGAACACCTAGATGACACTGCAGAACACAAGGCCAGCTGGGGCCCGCTTCTCGGTGGAGTCGGCCTGACCTTCTCTCCAGGTGCTTCTGTCTCCCCAGCACCTGTGACACTAGACGTCTGGTCCCAGGTCTGACCTGGATCTTGTGCACCTCCTCCCTAGCCCCAGGGTGGAGCCCGATAGATACGTTGTGTGCGCCGGAACAGCTGAACAGAAGTCTCTGTGAGCCAGGGCAGCTCACAGCCCCAGGGCCAGGGCTGAGTGTTGTCTGGTGGCCAGCATATCCACAGTGGCTTTCCTCTTCTCTCTCGAAGCCATGGCGCGGGGACTCAGCCCTCCTCTGCTCCAGAATCCTCTGTCCTCCTCCACGTCCATGTCAGTCCTGCCCCCTTGGCAGACCTGCAGACCCACCCAACCAGTCTGGGTGGGCTACTCCCTGCTGCCACCTCCAAGGGCCTAGCCCTTTGCTTTCAAGCTTTTTGGGCTTTGTTTTTGGTGATGAAACACTGACATAAAACACTGTTGCCACTGTCGTCCCTGCTGTATGCCCAGATCACCAGGATCTGAAGACTGAGTGCCCCTGGGCAGGGCAGAGGCCGCCTCTCAGTCCTTGACCCTGGCCCCGGCTCATGGGTTCTTCTGACACCTTAGACCCTCCGTGGGCTATTCTGCTGCGGGGGACAGAGGGCTCATCCAGAACTGGGCCATGGATGAAGTTCTAAACGCGGCCACTGGAGCCAGCACAGCAGCAAGCACGGTGCTCTGGGCCCACAGCAGTGTGCAGACCAGTTGGTTCCCACAACCACCCTGACCAGGACCTGAGGACACACAGCCACAAGGGCACAAGGAAACATCTGCCCAAGTCAGGGCTTCTGAGCCACGGCCCACGAGAGGGCATGTCACAGTCTCACAGAGGAGCGCTGGGTTTGGGGTGGCAGGGAGCCTTTGATGCCTTCTGATTCCCCACTGTCCTCCTGGGAGCTTGAGGAAGCAGATCCTGAGCCTCGCTTTCTGAAGAGCTGGGCAGGAGCAGAAGACTACTTCCTCCCAGCCAGACAGATGAGCCCAGGCTGACCCTTCAGATCTGAGGGAGACAGGCAGCCTCTCTGGACACATTCCTGACCCTCCTCTAACATACACAGGAACCCAGACACGCACATACATCCTGGCAGGGTCTTCAGCAGGTGCCCTCATCTGTACTTGCTCACTGCCTGTAGCTGGCACACGTGGAAACCTGAGCAGACGCAGCCACCACGTGTGGACACCCAGCCTCTCCAGTATTCCCTCCAGGGCCTCCCTCTGCCCCAGGACTCACAGTGCTGAGCATGGAGCCTGGAAATCTCTGCCCTCTTCTGGGCTGCTTTTCAGTCAGCTCAGCCCCCTCAGCAGCAGCCTTCTGATCCATCAGAAGGGCACGGTGACTGTGACGGAGCTCGCCGCTGTGGACGGAAGGAGAGACACCTGCACGTGAACTTTGAGCCCTACAAAGATAAGGTGGCAGGCTCGTCAGGGAGGCAGTGGAAGCCCTGGGTACCTGATGTGGGGCTGTTTAAAAAGCTGCGGAACCACATGCAGAAGAATGAGATTGGACCTTCATCTCACACTGTTTACAAAAATCAACTCAAAATGGATTAAAGTCTTGGGGCTGGCCCCGTGGCCGAGTGGTTAAGTCTGTGTGCTCCGCTGCAGGCGGCCCAGTGTTTCGTTGGTTCGAATCCTGGGCACGGACATGGCACTGCTCATGAAACCACGCTGAGGCAGCGTCCCACATGCTACAACTAGAAGGACCTACAACGAGGAATATACAACTATGTACTGGGGGGCTTTGG